ATGTATTTTTCTCATTTTTATGTTAATTTCCATTGATCTATTTTGTTTGACCTACTAGGAAAAATATTAACATTTTACATTGTACATTCTAAGTCCTTTCATTAAGCATTCTACATTGTATTTTTCCCATGTCATTGGAAGATTTACATTCTAACTCATGTCATTTAACATTTTAAATTGTTGCCCATTGTCAATAAACACTAAAATTGTTACCCATGTCAATAAACCCCATTACCAATGTTAATGAATGGTTCAATTGTTCCCCATGTCAATGGAAGATTTACATTCTGAATCATGTTTTAAACCATTTACATTGTTACCCATTGTCAATAAACGCTTAAATTGTTACCCATGTGAATAGAGGATTTACATAGTAATTCATGACAATGGAGGATTTACAATATAACCCATGTCAATGGAGTATTTACAATGTTACACATGTCAATGGAGGATTTACAATGCTACCCATGTCAATAGAGTATTTACATCGTAATTCATGTCAATGGAGGATTTACAATGTTACACATGTCAATGGAGTATTTACAATGTTACACATGTCAATGGAGGATTTACAATGTTACCCATGTCAATAGAGTATTTACATCGTAATTCATGTCAATGGAGGATTTACAATGTTACACATGTCAATGGAGTATTTACAATGTTACACATGTCAATGGAGGATTAACAAGGTTACCCATGTCAATAGAGTATTTACATCGTAATTCATGTCAATGGAGTATTTACAATGTTACACATGTCAATGGAGTATTTACAATGTTACTCAATGGAGGATTCACAATGTTACCCATGTCAATAGAGTATTTACATCGTAATTCATGTCAAAAGAGGATTTACAAGGTTACCCATGTCAATAGAGTATTTACATTGTAATTCATGACAATGGAGGATTTACAATATAACCCATGTCAATGGAGTATTTACAATGTTACTCATGTCAATGGAGGATTCACAATGTTACCCATGTCAATAGAGTATTTACATCGTAATTCATGTCAATGGAGGATTTACAATGTTACACATGTCAATGGAGGATTTACAATGTTACCCATGTCAATAGAGTATTTACATCGTAATTCATGTCAATGGAGGATTTACAATGTTACACATGTCAATGGAGTATTTACAATGTTACACATGTCAATGGAGTATTTACAATGTTACACATGTCAATAGAGTATTTACAATGTTACACATGTCAATAGAGTATTTACATCGTAATTCATGTCAAAAGAGGATTTACAAGGTTACCCATGTCAATAGAGTATTTACATTGTAATTCATGACAATGGAGGATTTACAATATAACCTATGTCAATGGAGTATTTACAATGTTACACATGTCAATGGAGGATTTACAATGTTACCCATGTCAATAGAGTATTTACATCGTAATTCATGTCAANTAATTCATGTCAAGGGAGTATTTACAGTGTAATTAATGTCAAGAGAGTATTTACAGTGTAATTCATGACAATGGAGGATTAACATTGTAACCCATGACAATGGATGATTTACAATGTTACCAATGTCAATGGAGGATTTACAATGAAACCCATGTCAATGGTGGATTTACATTATAATTCATGTCAATGAAGGTTTTACATTGTAATTCATGTCAATGGAGGTTTTACAAAAAAAAACATATCAATGGAGGATTTACAATGTAACCCATGTCAATGGTAGATTTACATTGTAATTCATATCAATGGAGGTTTTACAAATGATAACTCATGGCAATGGAGCATTTACATTGTAATTAATGTCAAGGGAGGATTTACAATGTAACCAATGTCAATGGAGTATTTCCAATGTAACCCAGGTCAATGGAGTATTTACAGTGTAATTCATGTCAATGGTGGATTTACAATGTTACCCATGTCAATTAAGTATTTACAATGTAATTCATGTCAAGGAAGTATTTACATTGTAATTAATGTCAAGGGAGTATTTACAATGTTACCCATGTCAATGGAGGATTGACATTGTAATTCATGTCAATGGAGGATTTACAATGTTACACATGTCAATGGAGTATTTACAATGTTACACATGTCAATGGAGTATTTACAATATAACCCATGTCAATTGAGGATTTACAAAATATAACCCATGTCAATGGAGTATTTACATTGTAATTAATGTCAAGAGAGTATTTACAGTGTAATTCATGTCAATGGAGGATTTACAGTAATTCATGTCAATGGTGGATTTACAATGTTACACATGTCAATGGAGTATTAACAATGTAACCCATGCCAATGCAGGTTTTACAATGATACCCATGTCAATAGAGAATTTACATTGTAATTAATGTCAAGGGAGAATTTACAATGTTACCCATGGCAATAGAGGATTTGCATTGTAATTTATGTCAAGGGAGTATTTACAATATAACCCATGTCTAGGGAGTATTTAGAATGTTACCAATGTCAATGGAGTATTTACAATGTTACCCATGTCAATAGAGTATTTACATTGTAATTTATGTCAATGGAGGATTTACAATATAACCCATGTCAAGGGAGTATTTACAATGTTACCAATGTCAATGGAGAATTTACAATGTAACCCATGTCAATGCAGGTTTTACAATGTTACCCATGTCAATAGAGTATTTACATTGTAATTCATGTCAATGGAGTATTTACAATATAACCCATGTCAATGGATGATTTACAATGTTACCCATATAAATGGAGGTTTTATAATGTAACCCATGTCAATGGAGGTTTTATAATGTTACCAATGTGAAGAGAGTATTTACATTGTAATAAATGTGAATGGAGGATTTACATTGTGATTCATGTCAAGGGGGGATTTAAAATGTTACCAATGTCAATGGAGTATTTACAATGAAACCCATGTCAATGGTGGATTAACATTGTAATTCATGTATATGGAGGTTTTACAGAAAAAAACCCATATCAATGGAGGATTTACAATGTAACCCATGTCAATGGTGGATTTACATTGTAATTCATGGCAATGGAGGTTTTACAAAAAATAACCCATGTCAATGGAGGATTTACAATGTAACCCATGTCAATGGAGGTTTTACAAAAGATAAGCCATGTCAATTGAGTTTTACAAAAGATAACCCATGTCAATGGAGTATTTACATTGTAATTAATGTCAAGAGAGTATTTACAGTGTAATTCATGTCAATTGTGGATTTACAATGTTACCCATGTCAATAGAGTATTGACAATGTAACCCATGTCAATGGAGGTTTTACAAAAGATAACCCATGTCAATGGAGTATTTACAATGTAACCCAGGTCAATGGAGGATTTACATTGTAATTCATGTCAAGGGAGTATTTACAGTGTAATTAATGTCAAGAGAGTATTTACAGTGTAATTCATGACAATGGAGGATTAACATTGTAACCCATGACAATGGATGATTTACAATGTTACCAATGTCAATGGAGGATTTACAATGAAACCCATGTCAATGGTGGATTTACATTATAATTCATGTCAATGAAGGTTTTACATTGTAATTCATGTCAATGGAGGTTTTACAAAAAAAACCATATCAATGGAGGATTTACAATGTAACCCATGTCAATGGTAGATTTACATTGTAATTCATATCAATGGAGGTTTTACAAATGATAACTCATGGCAATGGAGCATTTACATTGTAATTAATGTCAAGGGAGGATTTACAATGTAACCAATGTCAATGGAGTATTTCCAATGTAACCCAGGTCAATGGAGTATTTACAGTGTAATTCATGTCAATGGTGGATTTACAATGTTACCCATGTCAATTAAGTATTTACAATGTAATTCATGTCAAGGAAGTATTTACATTGTAATTAATGTCAAGGGAGTATTTACAATGTTACCCATGTCAATGGAGGATTGACATTGTAATTCATGTCAATGGAGGATTTACAATGTTACACATGTCAATGGAGTATTTACAATGTTACACATGTCAATGGAGTATTTACAATATAACCCATGTCAATTGAGGATTTACAATAACACCCATTTAACTGATTGATTTACTTTGTTGTCCATGCCAATGGAAGATTCACATTGTTACATGTACCCATGACAATTCAGTGATATATAGCCATCATGTGGGGTCTGTCAGTAGTTATTGTCCAAATGATAACTTTATAACGATTGATCAAACAAACTTCAATCTTGGTATATGGGTTGCCGTTATAGATGCGAGATCCCTATTGATTTTAGTGTTTTCCTCTACAAACTTCAATCTTGGTGAGTGGGTTGCCCTAGGGGAGGTGAAGAACCCTATGGCGCCAGAAGTCAAGGTCACCATTACTAAAAGCAGAATTGTACTTGGTTGGGCTTGTCCTGATGATAATCTTGTGTGTGAGTTTCCCAAATGGATGCAAAGAACAGTACCCTATTTGAATTTTAATGTGGTTTCCCAGAGGTTAAGGTCACTGTTGCTAAAATTAGAATTCTGCTTGGTTGGGCTTGTCCAGATGATAACTTGAGAACGAATGATAAAAAAGGTCAAATATGGTGTGTGGATCCGGATTGCCCCAGTGATCGCGTATAAGCGTATTGCTTTTGGGCATGGTAAACCAGCGGTCACGGTCGTTGTTTGAGTTGACTGTGTTGGTGAAAAGACCCATCAGTCATTAGGTGGTCTGCCAGAGGTCAAGGTCACAATTGCTAAAATATGTAAGCTTTGCTTTGTTGTGTTTGCCCTGATAATAATTTAAGAATGAATTACCATACAAAGTACAAAGTTTGACCCAGGCTTTGTATGTCAACACCAGTTCACAGATGTACAAGTTTTGTTACCATTGGAGGAACCACTTATAAAATAAACCTGGGTACATGTATATTTCATTTACCTTGTTGGATGGTTATTATATTTGTACTTGATACTTTTCATTTAAACATCACAATTAATAGTCAACTCAAAAAGTAATATTCAATATAAAAATATAAACATCTGTTTTATTTATGTTTATATTTTTTCAGTCGTTTACCAACCTGGATCCGATCTCTCATTCCAAGGATTTTCTACATAACAGAGAAGGCCTGGAACTATTATCCCTACACTATAACAGGTTTGTAAACATTGAAATGTTTGTGTCTCAATATGCACCTGTTTTTACTGAAGAAGCCAATATTTGTGAATGTTCTGTCAATAATTTAGTGAAGTTTTTGGATTTAAAAAAAAAAAAATCTGTCAAGTTTCACGTGTTCAAGTTTACATTTCAATTTACTGTCTGGGAAATTTGGTGCCATCTTGTTAAACTTACTTCCAATGTGTCTGATCCTTTAGGTTTGGTTAATATACCAGCGGTATCAGGGCTTCTTAGCTGAATGCATGAAATCCCTTGTAAACATACCGATGTAGTCTAAATCCAGACGAAAGTAAAGATACCTCTTGAGATCAAAATAAACACACATTGGCTGTATTGCTTTAGAGCATATGTTCTACTTAGCTAGAATGATGCTGAGATGGAACCTCTTGGGTCGTACCTACAGTGTGTTGATAGGCACTTGGAATATTAACAAAAACTAACCCTTGCTAAACCATAACAACAAACATATCCTGCAAAAGTAATGGAAACAATTATTCAAATCATGGCAGTTACTTGGAACAATTTACCTTGATTCTACCATAATGAAAACATTTTATTCAGAAGCATTTTTTTGTACCATTTGCATAACAACAATATTACCATGCTTGTTAGTCAACCACCAGTACTGTCAGTCGGTCAGTCTGTTTGTGATCATCACTTTGTCGGCGGTATCTCATGTTACCATGTAGTTGCCAAATTTTATATGCAAGTATCTCTAGGGATGAGGTTGTATCATGTTTTGAAAATTTGCTTCTGTTGCCCACTTTATAGCAATAATTGCAAAAATGTCATGGCGTCAAAATAGACCGGTTTGTGTATTGTATATGGAAGTGGTTGCCAACTAGTTGCAGGAATCGTACCTTCTATGTCCAATTTTTTTTATTTTATTGTTATCTATGGTCCGATAAAAATATAAATTAAATTTTAAAAAAAGACGGACATAGAAGCTAGCGTTCCCGCAGCTAGTTGCCCACCAGATGAAACTGTCATTTGAGGTTATGATAGTATTACTAGAACCTGTATGTATGGCAACCATAATAGCAGTAAAATAATCAATATATTCATCTACATTATTTTGTTCATTTCCATGTTGTGCTGAACTACTTGGCTATCAGAATACACTGTGAGTATATTATATATTTGTACTTGATTTAAGTGCGGCCTAACATTGTACATTTCCTGTGTCTGCTGAGATATCTTACAACGTACCAATACCGGATTAAAGTAAAATATTGTAATAATATTGCTTTTTTCTGAATTCTACTCCATGAGTTTTGATGTGTTATCTACTATTTTTAGCCTGCCATCATCAGATGGTGTGTTGTTCAACATTGTCTATTGTCTGTTCCTTGTCTGTCCTTATATGTTATATTGTAGGCTTGTCAAACCGTCAGCTTCTGTTGGTCAAGTACATAATGTGTTCTCCTTTCCCCACATTCCAAAATTAGTTCTAAATTTTACTGAGTAATAGAGTACAAACTTGTTTCTCCCACCTACATTTCCATATTTTCATACATTAAGATACAATTATGCATCAAGTAGAATTTTATATACATGTATGTCATCAGATTGGCATGGGAAGGGCATGTATTGTTCCACCCTGTAGAACTCCATGTTCTATTGATAATTTGTGATCACTATTTCTCAGAAAGTAATTATGCACAGATCTGAAATGACAATCTTCGTTTGAAAGGACAAAGTCAAACGTAGCAGTATGATACGATGGCCGATAGTAGCCGACACAAAACAACTACAATATAAGACATTTATATACATGTACACTTTTTAAAATTGTACATGTACACAATACAACTACAATCTAACACATTTGTGTACATGTACACTTTTTAAAATTGTACATTGTACACAATACAACTACAAGTGCTATAAACATTCCTTAACGGTTGGGGTCAACTTGATATTTCACACGTGCCTGATGTGGCGATGAATTTAAAGACCAAACGACAAGGAAAGGGAATATGTTCATAAATCAGCGAAGAGGCGATAGAGGTCACCACACATTGTTGCTACGTAGACTGTACAAAATATTTCACTAGTTGATGCTTGAAGGCGACTTAATCTCATTACCTGAAAATGGATAAACTAGAAAAGTTTGACTTTAGTAATTATCAAGTGATTAATTTTCTTAATCTTTTCTTTGTATGTTGATTGATCTTATGTCCTATTTTTAATTTGAAAGAAATGTAACAGACATAAACCATCGTTATATGCATATCTATGTGGGCTTTACCTAATGTATGGATTGGAGTCATAAAGTAGAACGTTGCATTGTTCAGTGACGTGTGAATAGTTGAGTGCTAAAGTCAAATATAATATAATACTTACTGTAACAAAAGTTGTATGTAGATTTTTCTGAGATAAGTAACCAAAGGAATATGTGAATATGTCACATGGGACACTTCATATTACATATTTTGGGTTATGTCCTAATTCACCGATTCAAACGAACATAAATCATTTATCAATTACAACTCAACACTGAAATAGAATATCGCTGACCGCAGCATACGCTTTAATTTTTGAATTTATTACACATACTTTCAAATTTCTCGCGATCTTGTCCCCTTTAGATGTTCCATCGACTTGGTCCATACACCGGTCTTCACTCTTGACCCGTCNTTGTACATGTACACAATACAACTACCATCTGACACATTTGTGTACATGTACACTTTTTAAAAACTGTACATGTACACAATACAACTACAAGTGCTATAAACATTCCTTAACGGTTGGGGTCAACTTGATATTTCACACGTGCCTGATGCCGCGATGAATTTAAAGACCAAATGACAAGGAAAGGGAATATGTTCATAAATCAGCGAAGAGGTGATAGAGGTCACCACACAGTGTTGCTAAGTAGACTGTACAACATATTTCACTAGTTGATGCTTGAAGGCGACTTAATCTCATTACNCCATAACATTGATAAATATAATTATGTCCTAATTCACCGATTCAAACGAACATAAATCATTTATCAACACTGAAATAGAATATCGCTGACCGCAGCATACGCTTTCGAATACAAAGAACGGGCTAAGGAATGTAAACCAGATTCTCACCCAGCTGTCTAGTGACGGACATCATTTCGTCCAAGTCCTCATGCATGTAGCCGTCTTTAGCTGCATCAGATTTCCATCGGCCATGCTTCTTGAACACCCGGTCAGGTATAGTTCCTGTCTTTGCACTTGCCGTTGCCCCACCTGACCTTAAACTATGCATCCCGAACCTTTTCTTGTCTAACCCTAACATACTAAGTTTTTCTAACAATAACTCCCGGACTGTGGTATAGGACAGTGGACCTGAATCACGCAGCTTAAATGCCTTAGAACTTTTGCAGAACGAAATTTGTCGGAAAATATAATCTGACGAGTTGTCGTGGATCTGGGCTTGTACGAGATATCGCTTGAGCATCGCCACAGGACACAAATCAGTAAATGTTTTTGCGATGACTACACTAGCCCCAGCACCAGCTTTATCGGTCTTGCTTCTAGGTATATACACTGTCATAAACTGATCAGAAAACCCAATGTCCGACCTCTTGATACCCACTAACTCAGCAAATCTAAGAAAACCAGCGAACCCGACTAAACACATAGGCACTATTCTGATGTCAGAGAGAGAACACGAATCGTTAGCGAACGACGTAACAAGCTGCCTTAAAATGTCAGGTGTAATGGGATCTTTTTTATTTGGTCTCGGACCCAACAAACGCGCACCGCCTGCCCTGACCATTTTAACCAAGTCTGAACTACAGGGATTAGGAAAGCCTGCGAGTTGATGAGCCCAACCTATAGAATAAATTGCCTGATCTAACTTAGCCATACTACTACTGGATTGTATGATGGATACTAAATACAAACTTACGTTCAACTCCGAAGCAGGTAACACCTTACAATTAAACGAATTCGCCAAAGAAAACCAATGTTTGAATCCGAGACCATACAATTTCTGTGTGTTAACGGCCTTAGAAGCTGTGATCACCCTCTGTAAATCACTAACGAAAGGCAGCAATCCGTCATTCCTGGTTTCCATGTTGACCCAACGTCCAAGTTTAAACACGTCTGAAAGTCGTATACGTTACAAAACAACATAAATACAACATGCATACTACTAACGTCATATCAATATGGCCGTCTAACGTCCAAAAATCCATCAAACTACATAGATGTACCATGTACGTATGTGTATCTACTGATTACCATCTGTACAGATGAATTTACATCACGTGACGCACTGGCCTAGCATGCCACATGCGCTCACTGCCCCAAAGGGGATGACCTCGCTCGCATGCTCCTAGCACCGGCCTTGTCATGACAGGTAGGTATACAACCTACACTAATGACCATTGGACCGACCTATCGTGTCACGCCCATGTCGTTAATAATCGTCAACTCGTTCTGCCTGACCGACTCGCCACAATGTGTACACGTGCGTATGTCGGTCACAACAAACTGTGACCTTGCCCTACCCTAATGGGTGTCTAGTGACGTCAGAATGTAAACATCAATACAAACAGTACTCCATGACCCCGACTCAGACATCACCCGTCTAAACAGAGGCGATATACAAGTAGCTAACACATGACAAGTACGCAAAATCATTTCAATAAGTTTAATCTAAACGATAACAACAAACAACGCGACTGCACATTATAATGCTATCCTTGTAACCTCACTGCGAGCACGGTGCCTACAAAACGCTCAGAGTCAAAAAGCGAGTTCTTATTAGCACACCTCTCAAAAATTCTATCAGTCTCGTGGAACTCTATCACTTCCTTCACATAGTCTCTGTACTGGAACTCACTACTAAAAAGGAAAGTCCAAAAAGGTGCTGACGGCCACTTTGGTACTATAAGGGTGCCACAGGACTGGGATACTATACTGTGCCTAATCGTCCTAATAATAAGTTTAATAGGAGGAACAAGCCAATTATTTTCCTCTCCCCAATGCCTCGCAAATGCGTCCACCCCCTCGGTGCCGGGATTCCAGAACTTGGAATTATACCGGGCTAATTTTGCATTGTCCACATTAGCGAATCTGTCCACAGTGTACTGTCCCCATAAAGAGTCCATGAATTCGAAAAATTCTGTAGACACGCACCAATCATCCACGTCTATTATTTTACTTATCTCATCGGCCCGTACATTGTTATTTCTGGATATCCACTCAATGNATCTAATGTATGGATTGGAGTCATAAAGTAGAATGTTGCATTGTTCAGTGTGAATAGTTGAGTACTAAAGTCAAATATAATATAATATTTACTGTAACAAAAGTGGTATGTAGATTGTTCTGAGATAAATAACCAATGTTTTATACCAAAGGAATATGTGAATATGTCACATTGGACACTTCATATTACATAGTTTGGGTTATTGAGTTAAAATTATAATTCTATATACAAATTAAGTAACTGCATGTTTTTGTTTTGTCTCCAACTATTACTCCAAAAATCACATAAAAATTATATGATATTTGCAATTGGTATACCTCTGATTTGTGACCGTCTAGTATTGTTTGACTGCTGGGAAATCTAGTAATGTCCTTGTCGTTTATTAGCCGCCGTGTAGTAACATATTTTGAGGTTGTTGATTTTAATCCACTATTATCCGATGTTCATAGTTGTATTGAATTTAAGTTCGAAGGGGCGTCTGAACTCATACATACTCTATATGAAAATCCTTATGCAACCGACAAAAACGGTGGTTACGTGAAATGGAAGGATCAATTAAGTAATTCGTTTACTAATCTTATTGCAGATGATCATGATACCCAGTAATAAACTTGCTACGCTGAACGAGTATGTTAAAAATTCGAAAGCTAAGGAAACCGACCAAATAACTAATGCAGAAATTAATGATGTAACTAAAAATATCACAGATATATTTACTACGTCCGCCAACCAGTCATTCGGTCGCAAATCTGTTTACCACGGAAACATTCATGAAAATAACAAACCATGGTTTACATCAAATTGTAAAAAGCTTCGAAAAGAATTTTACAAAGCCAAACAGAACTATCGTAAATTAAAAAATGATATTAACAAGCACGCATTGAAAAGGAAAAGTCGTAATTACAGGAAAGAGGTAAATAAAGC